CGCCCTTCTGGTCCGAGGCTGAGCCGGCTAGTAGAGTCAGGAGCCAGAGGCCAGCCAGCGTGACACACCTTGCTGCGCCCATCCTCACGCGACCCTGATGCTTCTCACTACCATAACTAGATGACTCTCCACTCCATGACTTCCGAGTAAAAAGTTTTCTGTGATTATCCTCTGTCCTTTTTAGTAATAACTCTTTGTTGTCTCTTAAATTATCAAATATATCTTTAGTGTTTTTATCTGACTCCTCTATTAGCAGTGTATTATAATTACATTGAAGTAAGTCTTAAGTCATCAGCTAAGGGTCTTCAGGGTGCAAATTTTCAGATAATTCCCTTTAAGTAAAATAATTAATAATGTTCGTTGAAATTATGTTCCCGTAATTATTTTTGTTTGCGTTCACGGGGATTGCGTTCATATAATTATTTTTCGCGATGACTGAAAATGTGTTCACGTAAATTTTCACTTTTATGAAATTAAGTTCACATTATTATTCATTCAATGTTATTTTCTTCTTCAACATCGATTTACTTTTAAACTTCATTAATGGAAGATAACAAAGTAATATCGTTTAGCTTGTGTCGTTCTGCTTCTAATGTTTCATGTTATTTTCGATTCAATAACTACATACTGGTTTAATATAAGGCTCAGGGCGTCAGTCTAGTATCAAAAGCTGTTTACTAATATAGTCTCATTGGGTCTCCAGTGGTTCAGTCTCGGCAGCAGTCCGGTAGTTCGGTTTTGAGCAGACGCGTCTGTGTAGTGTAGTACCAGCAGTTGTCTCCTTTGTGTTATCCAGCTGCCGTAAGACGCTGCCAGCCACCTCTACCTGCCGAGGGAAGATAAGAAAGTATATTAATGTTTACAATTTAAATGAATTAATTATTTGATTATAGTTAACATGTTCTTTATAAAATACGTGTGGACTTGATATGAAAATTTGATGGAAACAACTTATAAATGGCATATAAAAACGTATTTGATAAAGTTTTAGATCACATACTGCATACATGTGTAATTAATCAGAAACAATTTTCAATTCAAAATAACTTTTTTTTTTCAACTCACTAATTTTCAAAGTAAATTAGGATAAATTGTGTATCGTGACGTGAGAACTCCTGGTAGGATGGTGGTGGTATCTGGCAGCACTATTGAGCAGTTATGCCATGTGTCGCAAAAGAAGTAATTATGTTTTAATAAAATACCATGAATTGTCGATAAACAGAGACAGAAAGTAAAAAAAAAAATACCCGCAGGTGATAATGTATGAACCAACTGCAGCAGAGTATTATGGACAGTAATATATCCAACCATGTCCGAAAAAAAAAAATTTAACATTTCAAGAGATATTTTATAGTAAATATACCCTTTTCGGCTAAATGTCCTTTGTAATATAACTTTGCTAAGCTATATTTACTACACACATGCGTGGTTCTGATGACAAATTTGATATAAAGACTTATTTATTTAGTTATGCTCAGACAAACTCAACCTGAACCACCGGGGTGAAGAATGTAATGTTAACAGCCGTACAGAGGCAATTGTGTTTTCATGGTCAGGCTTCAACTTGAGAGAGAGAGAATAACAAACTTGCTATCGTTTGAAACACTCGCCATTGTATATTAAAAGAATAACATTGAAGAATAATCAGGAACTGTTATCGATGATCACCTGTCAAAACTGGAAGAGAAATGCACCAAGTACTTTCTAAAAAAAAATTCAAAGATTTTTCACTGGTGCTCAATCCGTTCCTATGTTCCGTGAGTGGTGTTCCTGGTGGTCAAGAACTGTTCATTAAACTTATTCACAAGTCAGGTAACAGCTCAGTAAGTGTAGTAATTGTTCAGTCAGTATCTATTGCACCATTTTCTTTTTGTCACTGTTAGTTAGAATAATTTACCATAATATAAATATATGTATTGTAGTAACGTATCGGTAATTGTACTGGAAATTTTGCAATTCTCTTTCTGCAGCTGTTGCATTGTAATAACGTGCCATTATGAATCATTAATAGACGTAAAATGGACCATATCATTTTATTATTTTCCATTTATCTGTTCAACCAATAGATGACAGTTATATTTATTACCTTCTTACTCTATAATTTCTACCAAAATCTTAAAAAAAAAGTGAAATAGAAAAAAAAACACCTGATTTTTTTTAAGAATAGAAATAATTGAACCAGTAAGTTAAACGTGGTGGGAGAAGACCGTAGACTTTATTTGGTGTTGCATCACGTTTTATCAGTCTCTCTCTCTCTCTCTCTCTCTCTCTCTCTCTCTCTCTCTCTCTCTCACTATATTGAAGGATCAGTACAAATGGGAGTGAGGTTGAGGATAAGGGTGCGTTGATGACTAAATGGAGTGTGGGAGACAGTCAGAGATAATAGAGGAGAAGAACACGATAAGAGGAGAGGGAGTGAGACAGTGAGAGATGATAAACAGAGGAGAGAAACATGAGAAGAGGAGAATGTGAGAGATAGCGAGAGATGATAAATAAAGAACCATAAGAAGAAAAAGAGAAATAACACAGGTTAATAAAGGTAGGATAAGCGTATGGGAGAGAATGATTAATAGAAGATAACAATAAAGGGGGTAAGAATGATGTAAATGGAAGCAATGTGAGATGAAAGCGTAATAAGAAGAAAACGGGTATTAGTTTGGATGCATGGAGAAGGGAATTAAGGAAGGGAAGGAGTAAGGAAAATAAATGAAGGGAAGGGGTCGTAAATGGGACAGTAAAGTATATATTAAAAAAATGCAGATGAAGAGAGGAAGAGAGAGGTGAAAGAAGAGTGAGAAAAATAATGATGTTGGAAGTGAAGGAGACACAAGGAGAAGAAGAAGAAAGAAAGTAAGATAATAAAGAAGATTTGGAATAATGATACTATATAATAATGATAATAGCGAAAGTATTACCAATCATCATCATCATTATCATTATTATTATCATCATCATCATCATCATTATCATCATCATCAAACAATGAAACTATATAACGAAAAGAGAGAGAGAGAGAGAGAGAGAGAGAGAGAGAGGACTATGAATCAGAGGAATGATACGAGAGAGGGAAATAATAAAACAGAAATTGAAGGAGAAGAACATGGAGAGGAAGACGTCAGGAGGAAGAAGGAATTGGGGAAGGAAGAGAGATAGGAAGGGGAGAGAAGAGGAAAGGAGAGCGAAAGAGTACAAGGAGAAAGAGAACAGGGAAAAAATGAAGAAGATGGGAGGAAAAGAAGAAAGAAAGAAGGAGAGAGGAAGAGAAAATGAAGGAAACAGAAGAGGAAGGGAAAGAGAGAGGAAGAGAAGAAGAAGGGAAAGAGAGAGGAAGAGAAGAAGAAGGGAAAGAGAGAGGAAGATAAAAGGAAGGGGAAAAGAGAGGAAGAGAAGGGGAAGGGAAGGAGAGGAAGAGAAGAGGAAGGAGACAAAGAGAGGAAGAAGGGAAAGAGAGAGGAAGAGAAGGGGAAGGGAAAGAGAGAGGAAGATAAAAGGAAGGGGAAAAGAGAGGAAGAGAAGGGGAAGGGAAGGAGAGGAAGAGAAGAGGAAGGAGACAAAGAGAGGAAGAAGGGAAAGAGAGAGGAAGAGAAGGGGAAGGAGACAGAGACAGTATAGATGGTATATTATGCAGTTAATGTATCTCTCTCTCTCTCTCTCTCTCTCTCTCTCTCTCTCTCTCTCTCTCTCTCTCACCATTAGTTCACAATTCCCTTCGTTAATCTCTGGAGCAATAATTCCTTTTCAGTCTTGAGAGGATAATGGTGCTCTTCGTTCCAGCTGAAATAATGTGTTGTTGCCTTACCTAAACTTTGTTACACTGTTTAAGTCTTCATTATTACCTTTCTCTACCTGTGTGTGTGTGTGTGTGTGTGTGTGTCATTCTCTCTGTCTCTCTCTTTGTCTCTCTCCTCTTTTTCTCTGTTCCGCCCTTCTCTTTTTTCTTTCTCTTTGCATTTCTTATTCAGGTGAACTATTTTGAATGAGCTCCCCACACACACACACACACACTTGTATCTGTAAATTAATATCACAACGAAAATACACAGACACACGCACATCCGTTTAAATGTAAATTAACACACTCGGTAAAAGTTATACAAACACACGTACGTATATAATTAAACATTAGTGCGTCAGCTAGACCAAGATATTCTGTAAACCTTGAACTGGTAGTGTAGTCTAGTCAGAAGTCACCCCAGACGAACGCAACGTGACAAGCACAACAAGACGCGCTAAATTCCCTACCCTAGTTATATATTAATCACAGTGAGGACCTGCTAGCGTGGTATTCCTCTATTATTAAGGACATTTACACGTTCTCATTACCGTGTACAACTCTCCACCATTTTTTTCACTGGGTGTTTGGTGCAAAATTTTCCATTGTTGGGTTGTGGCTGCAGCGAACTGGTATGAATATTAGTGAGTTTAACTTTGTCGCTGCAGGAACAAGTTGCTCACGTTGGTAACTTTTGTAACCGGTTGTTGTTGTTGTTGTTGTTGTTCCTCGCCCACGGAACAAGAGGGGGGAGGGGGAACTCAGCTTTGGTCTCTGTTTGTCGGTTTGTTTGCTTGTCATGAGTGTCACACAAGGTAGAGAAATTATTATCTTCTAACATTAAATAATCTACATGACTCATCCTTATGCAGAGAGAAGATGTTATTCTTAAGCATTAATTTAGACAACATAATCACGTTCTTTTGTGTGTTATGTTCTTTACTGCGTTCATGTTCTTGTGTTCTTCTTATGTGTTAAAGTTCTTTTCATTTTCGATCTTATAAAACACAAGTGGAGGAGTCCCAGAAAGCCTGTTTATCATTGGCTGAATCATTTCTGGCTCGTATGTGATTGGTTAGTCTGAAAGCCTCTACATCATTGGGTAAATCCCTCCTGAGCGTAAATACTCTGGTTAGTTAGCTCTCCGCCGTTCAGTTGAGTCAGTAGGTAATTGGCTAACAGTGCAGCTGGCGGGAATCACCAATGATAGCTATTAAGTTGTAATTACTTCAAATGCCTTACTGATTATGTGTGATGATTGACGTTTACTTAATTAACAAATACCTGGTTCGATTCCCCTTAATATCTGATCTCTATCATACTTAAACCTTAAACCTTTAAAGACCATCTCTTATTGGCTGAATATAATGAACTGATGGATGAATATGAAGACTCACCGACGGATGACATCCACTTAAATACCTCAAACACTCCTAATTTTCGTAATAACTTTGAATACCATAATATTACCTTCATGCCCGGAGTCTTTTCTGGTCTAATTACACACCACCGGACCCCAACTTTGATTTGATGAAACATAATAGACTTGGTCTCCTAGATCTGGTTCTTGATTGGATGAATTTGTCATACTCGTCCTTCCATCAACCACTATGATTGGCCGGGAGAGTCGACCTGGCTGGCCCGACAATTTTGGCAGGTGGTAGCATGTTCGTTGGTCATTACTTAAACGAGGGGTTGATGATTAAGCTGACTAACGATCTCGTCAGCCAGGAAAATGCCTGACGAAATTGCTTCAGGAACTCATCAGTAATTCTCTCGCGAGGTGAAGTGTAAAATTTGGCTGCCACGGCTGCTGTTGTATGAGTGCTGAGTAACGTTATTAAATCACTCTCTCTTTCCTCACACCGTTATTGCCTCTCACGTCACTATATAATGGTGTTTTACTGCCTCTTCTTACGGTGCCTTCCTCACTATTGTTATGGTGTCTTTGGGCCTCTCTCTCTCTCTCTCTCTCTTTCTCTCTCTCTCTCTCTCTCTCTCTCCTACGTTCTATTGATCTCTGAATTCTTTCCAGTTTTATTCTCCTGCACCAT